CCCCCCCCCCCCACCCGTTCGCACGCAAACGCGTCCGCACGCTTTTGGACACTTTTCACCTGCTACGTCTTCTCGTCTTCTTCTGCAGACAAATCAAAGCAAGAGGAAGTCTGCTAGCGGGACCAAGGAGTGGTCCCAACTTGGGAGTTGAAGGTACTGGTATGCCATCGCATGTGGGCAAGGAGAGCCACGCTCAGTTCGTGAAATAGTCAATCCACAAATTGCTTGCATCATATCTGTATTTTTTGATATTATGACCGTAAGTTAAAATGACGTTGCAAATCAGACTATTAGGCTTACAAAAAAAATAATAAAGAAGAAACCCACAAGGAGCGACTCTGACTCCGCTAGGCCACACCCCTTAAGGGCCCACATGCAACGCACCAATACAAAAATTCTGGCAGTAATTCTACTTGTAAGACGAGAGTGTTGTTCCAAGTTCTCCTCTATTATGTTTGAACACAGTGCCTTTTTTCCTTGATTAAAAATCCCCTAAATAAAACATGGCCTCTTTTTTTTTGTTTGTTTTTTAGGGGGGCTGGCATTTCGCTAGCGGACTTTTGTTGTCATGTGGTTTGATTCAACATTTTGGTGTCTATATTTACAATATTAAATTTTTTTTGTTGTTTTTTTTTTTGTTTTGTTTTTTGATGGGACAGTTTTACAGTAAATTGGGAGTGACCAAGAAACAGCTTGAAGCAAGCACGCTTGACCTCTTTTTTTTTTTGTGCAAGAAGGGTGCAAACGACTTCATTTCCCTTCCTGCAAGTGATATTTCAGAAGTGTGTTCACGCGTTTCAATGTGTTTGAAGCGTGTGAGAGGGGTTCAGCAATTTTATTTATTTTTATTTTTTTTGGAAATCACTCTCCATCATGGATCATCACCTGTGGAGCACTCCCCTCCGACCCCCCCGGGGCGCTAAATGTAGACAGGCCGCATTATACCGACAAACAACAAACAAGGCACGACGAGCCCGCAATTATCTCAAAAGGGAAGTCAACTTCCTTCACACACACGGCAAGCATTAGCACCACAACAGGGCTCATTAGGGCCCTCTCGCCTGATACGCACTCGCTCGCCCCGATGTGTGTGCGTGAGGAGAGGCCATAGCTCAAGAAGCTAATAGAATGTCACCTCCTCGCATTAACATGACAGCCTCCATTCTGCGGGGGCACCGGGGCACAGGGGGAGGGGGCGAGCACAAACTCTGCATAATTTGGACTTTTCAAGTTGAGATAAACGCTATCGGCAATATTGGTATGATGTCGGTGTTCAAGCATCCGAGAGGGGTGGGGGTGGGGGGGGTTGTGGTAGTGGAGATTTGCATCTTCAATGCCGACACATTCATCACCGTCCTAACGGCACAAAGATTTTTTTTTTTTTTTTTTTTTGGTGGAAGGTGCACCTGTTAGACAACAGTCACCTTGACCCCCTGCCCCTCCTTAAATGAAACGGCTCAAGTCAACATTTATCTTTTGCCCCACTTTCATCATTTCTTTTATTTTTAAGCTGTCATATTTTTGGGGGGCACGCGGTACAAAGGAGATGCCGTCAAGTTATTATTTTTTTTTTTTGGAGGCACTTGGGAAAGGAAATTTTAAAGGCTACGCATTAAAATAAATGAAGAGGCAGATAAAAAACAAGAACACCAATGATAAAAAATAAAACCACGAATATAAAAATGATATATTGATAACGTGATATCTTGCAATATTTGCAGTCACTGTCAAAATATTTTCGAGACGTGTCAAGCCGACCTGCTGCTTGCTCAATCAAAAAAGGATGAAGTTAAAAAAATTGTTCAAGGAGCACAAATAAATACAATTTATATACAATTTAAATGCATGTTTAAGGTTAAAAAGTAGCAAAAAAAAAAGGGGCAAGTCATTGTCTACAGAGAAGATCCAAAAAAGTTATGGGGTTTTTTTTTTGTTTTTTTTTTAAAAAATATATTGGCCCAGGTGTGAAAAAAAGAGAATTGCGGTGTGGTGCCGACGACTCTCGCATGAGGAAACCCGAGAAGTCAGCAAGCACATCAAATGTGGAGCAGCTGGCCGCGACTTTCAAACAAAATATCTCCACATGTGGACGCTTTTCATGTGGACACCCCCCCATTAAAAAAAATGAACATAAACTTGCCCCCTTGTGCAAAAACACACACGTGAGTCGTGCAACACTGGCATCTTACATTCCTGACTTTGGAATTGGGAAGATTGCAATTTTGATGACAAGCAGAAAGCAAAAAAAAAAGACTTGACACAATCGCATTTTTTTTTTTTAGGTGGCCGTACGCAATTGCTGTGAAAATGACTTTTATTGATTCAGTTTTATCCTATTTTGTTCAGTGACTACAAACCGATCGACTTGATTTTAGAAGCATCAATTAAATATTTATGAATTGGAGGACTTTTAACGGCCACTAACAATAATCATCTCATGAAGATACTGTATGATACATACACTACGTGTGTGTGAGTGCGCGTGTGTGTATACTGTGTGATGTTTTCTCACACAGACAGACACACACACACACACACACACACACACACACACAAAAAGATGCACATTTGTCTGCGTAGTTTTAACTGCAACGAACAACAAAAATAACATTTTGAATAATGACAATAATAAGAGTGTGAGATATACATTTGCATGTGTGAGCAAGTACATGAAAATCAAGCCATACGCACGGGCGCGCGCATACACACACATACTGACGCATGCGGCTTGTTGGAGTGCGTTTTACTTTAACCTTCTACAGCTCATAACAAGAATTGCCAAATTTACGACAACAACAATAATGACAATGACAAGTGTATGAGAAAGATTGTGTACTTCGGGTGAACAGTTTCAACATGCCAGAAGCACAACACACACACACACACACACACACACACACACACGCACACACACACACGAGCCAGCAATAATACTATCAACCACAACAAATGATAATTGCAATCACAACAGTTATGATTGTCCGTGAGATCTTGTTAACTATTTCAGCATACTAGAAAACACCCCCCATGCCCCCCCCCACACACACGGATCAAACTAAAACTAAAGCAGCTTTTAACACTACTAACAATAATCATCGATGTATGAAATACATTTGCGCGTGCACGCGTTCGTGTGTGTGTGTGTGTGTGTTTACACACACACACACACACACACACACACACACACACACACACACACACACGCGCGCGCCGAAAAAGTTATTGCTGCTCCAAGGCATTTCCTTGTTTTTTATTCTTATTTTTTTTCTGACACACATGAATTTAAAGTGGCTTATTTTCTGTTGGAAAACTTTGCATTGAAAGCGTGCACGACTTTGCTCTCGACTCAACTCGCAGAGGAACTTTCCTGAGCTTCATGAGGGAAAAGAAAGAAAGAAAAAGAAAGGCGAGAAAGTGCGTAAAAGCGCGTTGAGATCCGCGAGACTTACTTGAGTGTCTTTTTGGCACTTTTTTGGGGGGGTGGGGGTCCTCCCTCTTCAGGTGGGGTGCAGATGCGCCTCTGGAGGAGCCCGGGACCTCTTCGTCTTCTTTCCACCTTCTTCTTCTTTTCCTTCTCCCTTTTCCACACTACAACTCCCAAACGGCGCGACCAGATTTGTTTCTCCTCCTCCACTTTCTCCTCTTTCTTCTTCCTCCGATCTTTCTTCTTCTTCTTTCGTGTCTTCTTCTTCTTTGGGCGCCTTTGCTGCGTTCGAGGGCCGTCGGACAAACAAGCGTCCACCGCAGCCCTCCACCAAAAGTGTGTGGACGCGCCAAAAAAAGAAAGAAGAAGAAGAAGAAGAAGAAGCAGAAGAGTGCGCGCCGCGCGTCACACTGGCGATGTCGTTGCGTTTCGTGCGCGTTTTTTTTTTCGAGAAGAGACGACGAAGTGTGGAACTCCAGCTGCTCCTACCCCAGCTTGACTCCTCCCCTCCTTCAACTCCACACAGTCCTCCTCCCCTTTTTTTGTACCCCCCTTTCTGCTTCCACTCACTTGACAGAACTTTTTTTTTTCTACAATGAAACATTGAACTGTGTATCATCGTTTTGAAAGTTTCACGACATGCATGTGCTCTAAACCATCTTGAACTTTTGACACCAGGTAACCCCTTTTCAAAAAAAAAAAAAAAAACACTGACAGGACTTGCAGGAGCACAGTAGGCCCAAGGGTTCAGAAAAATAAGACGGTATGTTTTATTATTGTAAGCCACTGGAACGTTGTGCAGTTGGAATTTTAAATATTGGAAAATAAATGCACTTACATAATGATTCAATTAAACTGTAAATTGTACATAAACGTTGCAATTTTCTTAAACAAGAAATGCAATCAAGTTCAATTAAATTGTCATGCTCGTGAAAATGAAATAAAATTGTATTGACCCGATGCTTAAAAACAAGCAATTCTTTAAGGTGAAATGAAATTCTGCTGGTTAAGCATTAAATACAACCAAACTGGACCGAGCAAGTGATTCTGTTGTGCACCGCTAGAGGGAGCCACTGGTGATTGACTGATCGAATGAAATCCGATACAAGAAACATCCCAAAAAAAAAATGTTTAAAAGGTTGAGAAAGTCAACGAAGCAAAGTTGTCCAACGAACACAACGTTCACTGCAGCAGTTTCTAATATTTTGTCCCTTTTGTCTCGCTCAGTAAGAACCCCAAAATATTCGAAACACCCCTCAGGATGATCCAGTTCACTCCAATCACAATAATCAACAGTCAAAATCACAATTGCTATTGTAATGACATGAGAACACACATGTATCACATAAAACATTCCTCTTTAAATAAAATAGCGCTAAAAGAATCTTAAAAGGGTCACCAAACAAACAATGGATCAATTTTGCCATGGATTAAAAAAAAAAAATAATGGCTGGATTATAAAAATGAAAGGCTTGACTTTTGGGCCACGAATATGATGGAGCAATTTGAAGGGAAATATTGGAGGGGGGGCGGGGGGCATACAGGGCCCCAAAGGAGTCTGGTGGGCCGCCGAGGACCTGTAAGCTGCGCGGTCCAGGAGACTGATCAATATACATGATTAATCAATAGATGGGAAAATGATGCGCTTTAGTGCCGCGCTAATCAATGGAGAGCCGCAAGCAAAAATCAAGGCGTTAAAACATCCCACAATATGCACGCGCGTGCGTGCGTGCGTGCGTGCGTGTGGTCAGCGGTGACTCGATGGTTCGAAGGTCAAACGCAGCAGTTGGAAACATGTTTGACCAATTCTTGGTCATTTCGCAAACATTTATAAAAATATTTAGAAAAGGGTGGTTTCCGCTGATGTGGGCATGAACACAGCTGACTCCATTTGCCGCCAATCAAAGTCCGCCGATATACTGTAACTTGGTTACTTCCTTCTTTCTACACTGTTTATGTATTTAAAAATAAATTGAGGAAGATTATAAAAAACGTTCCGGAAAGTTCCCTAATTGGCAATGACCGAGTCAGCGCCTGGTGTCACACTGCTGCCATCAATAAACTCATCACAGTCTGACAACTTGAAATTAATGAACATATTTATATATAGATATTTTTTTTTTAGGTTCACAATGGATTCATTAAGGATGACGTCATTGGCCGGCCCCAATTCGCTGAAGGGTTGCCATGACGACAGGGAGCAGCCCGTCAAGGGTGTGGTGTAATTCCTTATCTGGGCCTCATTCCCATCACGTCAAGTCCTTGTTCGGCGGTTGCGTGTGCGCACGTGCATGTTGGAGGGAGGCGGGGGGGAAGAGAGGGGGGCGGCAAGAGGAGCGGGGTTCCCCAAAGTATTCCATCAAAGAGGGGCCAGGATCTCGGGGATTGCGATTGTGCCCGCAGGCGACTAACCCTTCGTTCGCTCTTCCGCACATTCCAAAGTCGGACCCGGCGAGCCAAAGCACACATCAAAAGCACCTCTGCACTTGCCAAAGCCATTGATGGAGAACCAAAGAAAGAAAGAAAGAAAGGTTTGGGGTGGGCCGCCACGCCCGCCCTCCCCCCACCGCCCTTTGAGCCCAGCATCTCACCCCAATTAAGGAGTGGTCGCTGCAAAGCCTGAGATCGACACATGTGCAAGCCACACGCACACACGCATACGTGCGCAAAGGGAAATATTTTTTCCGACAATATTTTATGATCATTTTATGCATCAACAAATAATCCGAACAACATAAAAGACAATTGCGAACTCGTAACCGCATATGTGTTTCCGTCCACCCCCCTCCCTCCCAAAATGGCTGTCCTGTAATATCATTGAGGGCAAAGTGCGGCAACAATTCTCCACCGCCTGAGTGAAGGCCTGGCAGCTGCGGAAAAGAGACCCACACATTTTTCTGCTTATTGTGCAACGCGCTCACTGTGCAATGAAAATCGATACTTGCCAGGCCGTTTCGTGACAATCTGACAGGCGACGGACAAAGCTAACACTCGCCGACGCCGCGGGAAGGAAACGCTTCGGCTGCGGGGACCCGCGACGATCGCCCACGTCAACTTCAAAGTTTTTTCGAATGGACAAACGTGATTTTACGGGGGTGCGTTTGAGCGATGAGGAACTTCCTCTGGTGGAGTGTCTGAAGCCACAATTCGTTGTCAAGCGCCAGGAACTTTTCATTCACGACTCTGAGAAAACAGATTGGGTGACGTGGCAGTAAAACAGGCCAAAAAGCCAGCGGTCAGTTGCGTCTTCGAGCGTGGTTGAACCAATTCGGTGGGTTTCGACTGAGATTTCAACATTTCGGCAGAAGTAGCTGCACTTACTTTCGCCAGAAATTCCCACAAAGTGGCAGGGAAGACCGACATTGGGGTGTCTCAATACTTTTGTCCACGTGGCACCTCCAGTTGTGAAGCAAAGTGCTCATTTTTTTTTTTTTTTTGCTCGGCCTCAAGCAGGTGTACCTAATGCTTTGGCCCCTGGCTGGAGTGGGCCATTCATGTGAATGGCAGATAAGGCCCCGCCCCCTCAATCACCCCAAAAACAATATTTGGGGGGTGGGGGAGGTTCTTTTGCATCCCTGGGAAATAATAAAGGGCCACACTGTAACCACTCGGGCAATTGGAGCAATTTCCCCGCGTGGCGAGGCCCAGCGGGCCGACTCCAAATGACGGCGTCATAAAAAGGCCCCTGCCCCCCACACCCCCCCCCCCACCCCCATTTCCTTATCAGGCGGGATTAAAAGGGAATCATGAAACAAGAAGCGCGGCTTTCCAGCCTTGTGTGGTATGAATATGATTATCTAATGGACTCCGACGGCGAGAGGCGCCTTGATTGCGCCAGACCTTTCCCAGACTATCTGCTGCCCCCCCCCCCCCACACCCGTCCTCCTCGCTGCCACTTCCTTCAACTTCTCCTTTGCCACAGAAGTCATTACGGCAGCCGCCGCCTATCAGCGGGGACAGCGATAAATCCTCCCTCGGCTCCTCCGATTGGAGCGTGTTGCTCTTGTAAGCTCAACAGACAAAAAACACTCAAGGCACTTATCAATATTCACATTTTTTTTCTTTCTCCCCCCTCTCCCCCCTCCCCTTTTTTTTTGGGTCTCAATGTGGGTCACTTTCATGCAAAGTCCCTTCAAACTTTGTGAAATCGTATTACATGGGGATGATGTGCAAGGCCTCGTGTCGGGGAACTGGAACAAAAACCTCACAGTAAAATTCAATTTGGGGGTTTTTGCACCGAAACGTAAACATCTTTTTCGCCAAGTGTTAGGCTGCAGGGTCTAAATGACCCGCTGAAAATGTGGACAATCGCTGACAAACATCAAGTGATCGTCCTGTGAATCTCTTCATTTTGTTCCAACTAGCCTGTGGGTCATTTTGACCTGGGAAAGTTGTTCATTTCGCAACATCACTCCCAAAAACTGTTGGAGAAAATTATTTTTTTTAATCTACATTAAAATAATTTTATCATGATCCCCTAACCAATTTAGAACACTTTTGGAACACGCCCTGGGGTCAACTTGACCATAATTCTGTGGTCATTTTTCACAGAGGATAAAGAATATATGCCAGTGAGTATTGCTGTATGCTCTTTTGGCATGTGTCGCTAATGTTTGTTTTCAAATTTAAGCCGGTGAACGGAACGCAGTGGAACATAACCACATTTATTTGTCATTGTCGCAAGTACACAGCCACAAAATTCATTTTTTATATAATTTTACAGTTTCAAGCCGAGCAAGATATATGATGAGGTCAGCGACAACAAGAACAGGTCAAGACAGGAATGGGAAATCTAACAGGTCGGCAAGTTGGAACAACGTCTATGCTACTTTGGTTAGCCTGTCTATGAGATTTTGTATTGCACTTTAGCATGAAGCTTGCACAGTTAATGTCATTTGGGTGAATGCACTTTTCTCTGAGAGTTCTCTTCCTTTTGTCGTTTTTCTGCCAAACAGCTGCAAGTGGTGAACTTTTTCACACTTGGAACCCGAATTTATCCCCCCCCCCCATTGGCCGCGGTACTTTAAAAACCCACAAAGTCAGGTCAGCGGGGTGAACAGTGCAATTCATCTCATGATGAGGCCTTTACGATTGACGCGCATTGCGGTGGTCATCCTCAGTGTGCCCATTAGGACCAATAACACTCCCTCAAACAAATGGTCCTGGAGCTCAGCACGCACGCACGCACGCACACACACACACACACACACACACACACACACACACACACACACTCCAATCCTGGGAGCACACTGAGGTCCCCCAGGACTTTGTTAAAGCAAAAAAAAAAAAAAAATGGCATCAATATTTCATGTAACTGCTGTGTTTGTGGTCCACATCAAAGCCGAGCGTGGCGTTGCAGGTCGACGGCGCGGCGCTTTTTTTTGGGGGGGGGTGGGGGGGCCTCCTCGGCAGCATTCGTCTCACGCCTGCCCACAAGACGCTCCACGCCGAGGCCTGCCGGGCCGGGGCCGCTCGACGCTCAGCGACGCCCACTGATTGCTTTATTAT